CCCCGCCGGGGGCGCCCTCCCGCTACGCCGGGTTGGAGTAGGAAGCCGCCCCGGCCCGGCCCGAGCCCTCTCCGGGGCCGTCTAGGCGGACGGAGGCTTGTCCCCGTCACTGCTGGGCTGGGCGCACCTCTAAGGGGGCTCTGTCGGCGTGCAGGCGTCCCCAGCGCCCCCCGACCCGCAGGAAGTCGGTCGGCTCGAGCGCTGCCTCCCCAGGCTTCCAGGGTGGCCGGGCTGGCCGCCAGGGCCCCGACTGGGGGCGGGGTGTCTGCCTTGGGGGCGCACAGAGGCGGGACCTCCCCCCCACCCGCCGCCCACCTTCGGGGCGCTGACCTCCGCCCAGCCCACCCTGGCTTTCTCCAGCAGCCCCGCCCGCGCTCCCTGGTCGGCCCTAGCCGGTCGGGTCTGCTCGGGGCTGGCGGGAGCCCCCCTGGCGGCCGCAGCACCCCATTTATGCCTCCTGCTGGTGGGGCTCGCCCAGTGGCGCCGCCTGCTGAGCCGGGTTGCCGCTGCCCACCGTGGGGCAGGGCAGCGACTGGTCTGTGGCCGGGTCTTGCCGGGTGCCCTGGTCCACCCCCAGCCCCGGCTGCAGGCCTTGTGTCCCCGGAGCTGCCCCGGGCCTCCAGGGTTCCTGCTGGGGCAGCTCGCGCTGGCCCCACCCCACCTGGCAGACGGGGGCTGCCGCACCCGCTGGGAAGGCTGGGAGGGGCTGCTGTGGGGGACAGGCGAGCCCCCACAGCTGTGCCCTCGGTCTCTCGTGTTTTGTCTGCCCCCCCACCCCTCCACCTCCTGCAGGCCCCCAACCTCTAGCCACAGGTGCGCCAAACCCGGGGCGTGGACCCCGGGGCCCCTGCCAGGTGCTGATGCTCTCCGGGCTGAGCAGACCGTGGTCAGCAAAGTGGGGCCAGCAGTGGCTGGTGACCCCCGCTGCTCAGAAGACAGGGTGGGCCCCAGCTGTAGCTGGGTGGGGGCTGGCCAGCCCCGGGCCGGCAGGAGAGCTGCACGGGGCTGTCTGGCTGCGGGAGACCCTAGATGCCCCGGAGAGGACCCGCCCCGCGCCCCGGAGAGCCCCGCGCCCGCGCCCCGGAGAGCCCCGCCCCCGCGCCCGCCCTGCCCCAGCCTCAGTGCCCAGGTCGCAGCCGTGGCCTGGTGGGGGGCTCTGAACTTTGGAGAATTTCAGTTTCCCCCCGGGGTCTGGGGACGGCCCCAGGTGTGCTAACCTGCCCGTGCCACCCCGTGGGGTCAGGCGAGCCCGGTGGCCAGGGTGCTGGCCAGGGGCGGGCCTGGCGCACTGGCCAGGGGCGGAGTCCTGCCCGTGTGTGGCCCAGTGGCTCGGGGTGGGGGGCCCGTCTCAGGGCTGCAGACACCCCCGAGGGCCCCTGGCCCCCCGTGGACCCACCCCAGCACCGAGGGCGTCCAGTCCGGGCGTGGGGACTGGGCTGTGGCTCTGACCCGGCCTCGGCACCTGGCCGGCCCCGACAGGCCGTCCGCCCCGGAGTTCGCTCCGCCCCAGGCGGGTCTGCTCAGGAGCGGGTTTATCTCCAGAGCCAGCGGTGTCTGCAGTCTCGGGGTGTGGGGGCTCTGGGGGTGCTGGGAGGTATCAGGGGGTATCAGGCTCAGCTCACCCAGGGCCCCACGTCCGCGCCCAGGCCGGAGCCCCAGGGCATGGCCACTGCTCCGAGCTCGCTGGGTGTCCATGCCCTGGGCCGGGGCCGGGGGGCTGGCAGTGGGGACCCCAGTTCCTGCAGGCTGCCCTGCCGCCCGCCCACTGCGCCCGGTCAGGGAGCCAGCGCCCCCGGGCGGCCCTGCTGGGAGCGGGCAGCAGGGTGGCGGCCGGGTGGGCGGGCCGCGCTGACCCTGGCCGCCCTGCTCCCGCCCGCGGCCTCCTTGCCGTCCCGTCCACCTGTGCACTGGCCACCGCCGTCCGTCCCTCCCGTCTGCATCGCTCCTTCCTCTTTCCCACGTACCCTGCCCGCAACGCCCCTCCCCCCCACCCCCCAAAGCTGGCCGGCGCCCCCCGGCTCCCTGCCGAGTGAGGCCCGGCCCCCCTCCGGCGGGGGTGCAGACGCAACCGGCGGTGGTCCTGGGACTCTTTATTTGGCCACAGCTGGGGGCCGCGTCCCCAGGCCCCGCTCAGACTTGGGGGGGCGCCGCGGCCGGTGCCCCCTGGGCGGAGACCCGGAGGCGCTTGAAGGCGGCGGGCAGCCGGCGGCCCAGGAAGGGCGGGCAGGTGACTTCTCGGACCACGAGGACGTACTGCCCTGCGGGGACAGGCTGGCTGGGCCCGGCCCTCCCGCGGCCCCCAGGCCAGCGGCGGGGAGCCCTCTTGGGGGTGCAGCGGTCCCCGCCCTCAGAGCGGGACCTCCTCGGCCCCTTCTGAGATGCGTCTCGGGGGAAACGTCTTCCCCTCCAGGGTCTGCGGAGGTAACGGAGCTCCGGTGCCCGCCACCGGCTGGGGGCCGGGCCGCCCGCCCGGGGTCCGCAGGACACAGAGGCCAGCACTGTCCTGTGCAGCCTGGGACTGCGGAGCTTCGAGGCCGGAGAGGCCAGAGAGGGGCGCAGGGGACAGCCCACCTCTGCCCGGCTGGGGTGGACGAGGCCGGGCCAGCGGCGGGCACGTGGGCTGGTCAGCCTCTCCCGAGGGCCCCCGACTAGTGCAGGGCAGGCCCCAGCCCCTCACACCCAGGGTCTTGGGGCCCTGGGGCCTGTCCGCGGCCAGTGTGTGGCTGCCACTGGGAGTGACCACCAGGCCAGTCCAAAGTGGGCAGGAGGCTGCCTGGCACCTGGCGCCCACCCCCCGGGCCTGGGGTGCTCCAGCCCTGCCCCCAGCGCGCCAGGTGTGTCCCTGGGGTACCTGCGGGAGCAGCTGCCGTGGGCGCTGCTGTGGCCGCCGGGCTGGACCTGTGGGGGAGAGGGCGGCTGGAGGTGCGAGTGTGGGCGTGTCCCGACAGCCGGCCCTGCAGCCCGAGGGGTGCAGCCCTGCTGCCCACCGCACCCGCCGGCCACCGGAGGCCCAGACCCAGGCCGTCCTGTGCCGCGCAGCTGGGGCGAAGCCAGGCAGGGCCGGCTGTGCTCTGGAGGCCACTGCCCGTCAGGTGCCCGCCACTCCGAGCCCGCGGGGACGCCTCCCCGGGCCTGGCAGCAGGGCCGCGGCCCAGCCCCAGTCCGACCTCCAGGAGTGTCTGCAGCGTGAACCAGGCGCGGGCGACTGAAGGTCCAGGCGCGCTGGCCGGTCCCAGAGGGCGCTGCTGCCCAGGGGTGGGGGGTGTCGGGAAGCCACAGCCCAAGCGGAGCTGTCTTGGGGGGCGTGGGGGCCACACGAGCACTCACACAGGGTGGGGAGTCCCGGGTCAGCAAAGGGCCTCTGGGCAGTGGGGCTCAGAGAAGAGGCCTGGGGCGGGCAGGGCGAGTCCCCGCGTCAGAGCCCCAAGCGCCCCACAGGCGCGGGCAGCGGGCTTCGGCCAGCGAGGAGAGGGCCCTGTGCTGGCACGCAGCCCAGCGCCCGAGCTGGCCTTCCCGGAGGGTGGGCACGGCCCCTCGGGCTGCTGCCGGCACCAGAGGCTCCTGCCCGCCGGCAAGGCCAGAGGTGGCCAGTGGCCTCCACTCCCAACAGAGGCGGAAGTGGGCAGGAAGCCCCAGGCCAGGAGGGTGGGGGCCCCCCACTCCCTGTGGTCTGGGGGCAGGGCCTGTGCGGCGTGGCTCTTGGCCGGGCAGGCCCCAGCAGAGGGCCAGGGGGCGCCGGAGGTCTGGCCAGCTCTTCCGAGGGGCAGCTGGAAGTGCGCGGGCGGGGTCACCCTTGCCCCTCCCGAGATCCTCCACTTGCTGCAGCGTCCTCCAGGACTGCTGAGCTTTGGGGGCCTCCTCTGCCTGTTGGCACCCTGGTATGTGCGGCGAGCCTCCCGTCCCCGTGAAGTGAGCTGGAGACAGTGCCACGGCCGGCGGGGCACCCTCCGGCAGCCGCCTCTTCCGCTGCAGACCACCCCTGCCTGGGGGCCCGCCCGCGAGGGCATAGCCCCGGCCACGAGGACAGAGGCCCCGCCCGCGAGGGCATAGCTCCGGCCACGAGGACAGAGGCCCCGCCCACGAGGACAGAGGCGAGGGCATAGCCCCGCCCACGAGGACAGAGGCCCCGCCCACGAGGGCACAGCCCGCCCGCGAGGGCATAGCCCCGGCCACTAGGGCAGGGCCGAGACTGCTCTGCTCTGCCATCTTGGCCTCCTGTGAGGCAGAACGGCCAGGATGTGGGGCGCAGCTGCGGTGAACCCCGCTACCCCTCCGAGCCGGCCTGGCCCCCGTCTCAGGCCACGCCCGCACCCGCGGCCCCTAGATGGCCAGCGAGGCCGAGCCGCGCGTAGCCTCCCCTACCTGCTGCCGGTCGGCGGGTCCCGCGCGGCCGGCTTCATTCTTCCGGGGCCCCCCGCGCCCGACTTCTGGAGGGTGGGAGGGGAGGAGGGGTCAGAGCGGGGCGCCAGTGCCGCTCCTGGGGGCTGACGCGCCCCTACCTCGCAGAAGAACGGGACCGGGTGGTGTCCAGGTGGAGGGGGTCCCAGAAGGACGTCCTTGAACTGGGCACAGCCCCGCTCCACCCTCTGGCAGTCCTCCGGACAGCAGGCGTCGTCCTGGGCCCCGGCTGCAGGGGGCGGAGCTGTGAGCGCCGGCCGGCTGGAGGGGCCCTCTGCATGACTGGACCAGGGCTGGGCCGCCGTCCTGTCCCTGTTGCCCAGAGCATCACCTCCTGGATAGTCGGGCAGACAGAGTGCTGGCAGCCGCCCCCAGCCCGCCGTCTGGGGCCCTGCAGCCCGCTCTTTGGGGTCAGAGGGCCCCCCTGGCCAGGAGGGAGGCCATGGTTGCCCTGGCTCTAGACCCATGGCCACGGGGTCAGTGAGCCACGAAGCTGGGGTGAGGGCAGGCGTGTCCTCACAAGTGTGGTGCCCGCGGGCGGCAGAGAGCTGGGCTCCCCACACACACCTGCGACCACCCTGATCCCCCATCTCTTGCACAGAAGTCTGCGCTCGCCAGGGGCTGTGGCCGTGAGGTTAGGGTGTCCACCCCCAGGCCCCTGCGGACGCACACGCCTTTGGGCCCACGCGTGTAGCTTCCGACAGGCGGGGAGGCCCTGCCCGTGCAGCTGGTGGGCGCCCCGCCCAGCCCGGGCACCACTTCCCAGGTGAGCCCCTGGGGCCGGCGCCCCTCTCCCTGGTGGGAACCTCTCGTCACCATCACCCGCCAGGCGCGGTGACACCCTCATCTGCCAGCCCTGGTCTCCCCGAACCCTCCTGGCCCTGTGAGTTGGCTCCATGCACCTGCCCTGCCGCCCACGGCCCCCCGCCCCCCCAGCTCCACGCGGCCGTGGGCCCCTGTGCTGCTCCCGGCCCCGGGGGCTTGGGAGGGCGCCTGGCCCCGGGGCGGTCTTTGGGGCCGATTCAGCAAGCCAAGAGGCCCTCAACAGAGGGGAGGGCCAGCGCCCTGGGGTGGCGGCCACCGCCCCAGCTGAGCACGTCCGGAGTCGCTGCCAGCCGCTCTCCTGGCCCTCGCGGCCAGTGGCCTCCTCCGCTGGCACACGCCAGGGGCCGGGGCCAATCTGGGCGGGGCGCCACGCCCCTGCAGGCCAAAACCCCGGGGCCGTGGCCGGATGCAAGAGCCCGCAGCTCGGACTCACCTCTGAGGCCTCGCTGTGGATTTTAATGGCCACGGTGACAGCTTTGTCAGCAGGTAAAGGTCACCGCGCGGCCCCAGGAGAGGGCCGCGGGCAGCCCGGCCCCGGGGAGAAGCGTCCATCAGGCTGGCGACTCGCATTAGCCGCCCGGTCACCTGTGTAGGACGCGGCGGGGGTGGGGCGCAGGCGGCCATGAGGGGAGTAGGAGCAGGAGGGTCACTGGCCCCGGGGGACTCCTGTGTTTTCTGAAGGTGACCAGACACACAGCATTTGTTTTTAGGGCTCTAATCAACCAGCCGAGGTGTCTTTGGGGGGCCAAGAGCCTCCTAGCAGCGAGCCCACAGCTGGGGGACCACGGCTACCCAGCCCTAGCCAGCTGCCCAGCAGCCAGGCAAGGCCGCGCGTCCGCCCACCGCCGTCTGTCCATCTCACCCCCTGCTGTGTCCTCCTTAGTGGGGTCTGGGGTGGCCCAGAGGGCGCGGGCAGCGGAAGGTGTGCGGCGCCCAGACTGAGGCTGCAGCTCCGCGGGGAACCCTGGCTTGCCCGTGCGTGCAGCGCGCACGCGCCCCCGGTGCGCACACACCAGCCCGCGCGTGCGGGCACGCACGTGCTCGCCGGTCCCGCAGCCCCTGTTGACGCGCGCACGTGCAGACACTCGTGTACCGGGCCGGCAAGGCCTCCCCTCCGGGGCCTGGTCGGGACTCTCCTCACAGGCCCTGGGGACAGCCGGCGTGCAGACGGCACGAGCCCCCAGCGCCCGTCCCCAGCTGCCGGAGGGCAGCGCTGCCTCGTCCACCCCTCTGGGTCCTCTGAGGTCGCTGCAACCCCGGAGGCCCCGCCCCCTCGCGGCCC